GACTGGGCTACTCCATCCCTACGATAGTTACAAAGATTTGCTAAAAAATGAAGCAACGATACATATTAAATTCAAATATGTATGAAAGATTGCAGAAAGGTTCCGAGGTAGAATGCTATTAAAATATTCCGAAAATTTCAGGATTCCATGAAGACTGTATAAAAAATATTAGGATTCGGATTCCAAGGGAATACCGAAAACTGAAGGCTTCCTTATGGGTGTTGTACAACAAATAATATCTACCCCTGCTCGCATTTCAATCTGTCCCGTTTTGAGTTACTTTTGACTTGAGTACTGTCATTAGAAAATGTTAGCAAGAGAGTTAATAACTGTAGCGCGTAAAACTCAAAAAGAAAACTTTAAATTTTCAGGAAAAAGGTACCGAAAAAGGATTTTAAAAAACAATTCAGAAGATATCTAAAGAAAGATTCAAGAAAATCTTAGAAATTGGTCGAACGTTTTGCCAAATTACTCCAAAGAGATTTCAAACGACTGAAAAAGTTCAAGATTTCAGGAGGATGCAAATCATGCACATTTCAAAATTGTAAGAATCTTCAGAACGGTTTCCTAAACTATTTTCAGAGAAGTTATTGCAAGATGAAGAACCAAAAAAATCTAACAATTAAATAAAGATTTCAGTTAAATCCAAAACTTTGACTAAAAACTGCTATAGAAATGCATGGCATTTTTTGATCTCCTCTGATCTCCTTTTGCAAATGGTATTGCTCTCGAAGACTAAAAGGGTCATACCGTGTGTCCAATGACGAGCTGAATCGATTATTTTACATCTGAAACTAATGGAAATGGAATATTTTACATGAAGGTTATTCAATGAGTACGGTTCAACTAAACTAAAGCATTTGCGTTTATGACTTCCAGTTTTACAGGGGGTCCTACTGTCCTAGTTTTTGTTTTTTTTATTTAGCCCTTGGCTTAAAAAAAGGTGCGGGTTCATTATATTCAGGATTTGCGTAAATAAGACCTGTTCCTTTCCTAATAATTTGTCCATCAATTGTAACATTTTTAACTTTGTAACTTGAAATCAATCCGTTTTATGTTTTCAGACGGACTGTTCAGAGGCATCGGTTAACGGTCGAGATGGCGAACTGCATTTCGTAGTTCTACCATCAATACGGCAAAGGCAAAGAAAATTAGTACCAATCCCTGCAGTTGTGTGGAGGGCTGGATTTTTAGCTGGTTATGAACCTGGATTAGATGCGACAGCGGTAGCAATTGGGAGGAAAGATCAAACGATCAGTACGATATTTGTTATACCCGGACAGCAAGGTATCGCCGCGCCTGGAGACGGCCTGGCGCGTTTGGAGACGCGTTTGATCGAAAGTGCGTTCAAACAGAACACCTGGGCGCGCTTGCTACGATCTCTGATACCACGCCCTGGGCTAGAAGTGCAAATTCCTCGATTTTCTCACAAATCCGTTATCAACGCTACGGCAGCTCTACAACGGATGGGCTTACGAGACCTTTTCAACGCCCACACGGCGGATCTTAAAGGTCTAAATGGAGTCGCTCATGAGCTGTATTTATCAGACATAATCCAAGTGAACACTTTTGCCACGTGTGGGGAAAATAAAATTGACGAAACGCACCATTCGGAGATATACCCGGCCACTACTAACCGCTCATTCCGTAGAGTGAGAAAAATTCCCCAATTCGGTAACTACGAAAACAGTGATTTGGCAGATGAACCCAGAGACTACCAAAGAGCTTTCCACGATCCACTTTACAATCCATCCTACCTATCGTTGCCTTTACAGTTTCGACCCAGACAAGCCAGATTACCCGACGCGCCCAGGTTGAGATTCGACAGACCGTTCCTATACTTTGTCCGACATAATCCTACAGGTCTCCTACTACACATGGGAAGATTTAATCCCAGGTTACTGCCATAGTTAGTAATAGTTGTATAGCGAATTAAGCCTCTTTCCAGTATTTCCACTTTTGTAAATAATCTCTTTAGTAAACTATTTTGAAGTACTGATTTAAAAAACTGCCAAAAATGTGTATACTATATTATAATAGAAAAGTTCCTTGGAAAGGTCCTTCTATATACTATTTCAATTTGCATCTTTAACTAATGTGATTTTACTAATGTCTCTACTCTAAGGGTGATTGTGTACCATTATATCAAGATTTATTTTCTCCCATATACGTAACTTTTGTACTGTAATATAGGTAGTGATTAATTTATTTAATGGCAATGTAATATAATTAAGAGGGAACATTTTGCATTTTGTAATATTGCTTCGGTACAAAATTTCGATATTACAATGTGCGACATTAAATGTGCGTTTAAATTTTCCAATTTGTTCGTAGTTTTCAGTTATACTATAGTGAAATGGGGATAATTGAAAATTATACTGGAAAGTTTCAGCTGGCGTCAGTATCGCTGTCAAAGAGGAAAAGTGTGTTAGGGGTCCGAAATTAAATAAATCAGAATTACTAATAAAGTAATGCTAATTTCATAGGTAGCATTAAGTTCTCAACCATCGGAACAGTGTACTCTACACTGCACTTTTTCGGCTTTTGATTTGTTAGGGGTGTGAATCCTATTTGTTTCTATTACTTGAGTCTAAAGATGAGAGAGCAAATCAGCGTGTAATACTCCTCAAACCTGGGTTTTATAGACAGGACGCAGGATTTTGAAATGGGGATAATTGAAAATTATACTGGAAAGTTTCAGCTGGCGTCAGTATCGCTGTCAAAGAGGAAAAGTGTGTTAGGGGTCCGAAATTAAATAAATCAGAATTACTAATAAAGTAATGCTAATTTCATAGGTAGCATTAAGTTCTCAACCATCGGAACAGTGTACTCTACACTGCACTTTTTCGGCTTTTGATTTGTTAGGGGTGTGAATCCTATTTGTTTCTATTACTTGAGTCTAAAGATGAGAGAGCAAATCAGCGTGTAATACTCCTCAAACCTGGGTTTTATAGACAGGACGCAGGATTTTTTATGTTGAAAATTGTTTTGATTTCATACATCGGAAGAAAACAATTAAAAATGAAGAGAACAGTGCCTACTACTTATTTCACTACTTTTCCGCAATTTTCCCCTTTTGCGAGAAAAATAGGATGCATTCACTAGTCACTTGCGGATACAACCTTTGTCCTCATCAACACAGCACAAGGCAGCTTATAACCGACAATCAGGTGGGTCCTTCAGGAGATTCTTCCATTTTAGCGTCCAAACCTCACAGTTGGATAAAGATTTACCCTTCTTCTAATGGCTCTTCTCTAAGTAGACTATTTTTCCAGAATTACAACCCCAATTTACACTAAATCGTAAAATCGGAGTATTTAGAGGAAACATGGAATGTTAGACCCTTGCAATGTAAGTATAACGTACAGGCAAACAGTGTTTCAGTCATTAAAAATACGTAATATGATAGCAATGTTCTTTTTAAGGGACGGTCGAGGGGCGAGGGCACGAGCATGTATATTTCACGCATCCAATTTCAACTTAAATTATGTCTGCAACATGAACGAAAAAGTGTATCTCGAACCAAAACAATTCGAGATTACCCCAAATTCAATTAATCACCAAAAATAATGCTTAAAACATTTTGCAATTTAACCGTAATTGAATTTTTCAAGATTGGAAAGTCTCAAGGAAAAATAAAATGAAGTGCGTCAATCCTGCACCAATCAGAGCTCGTTAACTAGCTGCAATAGCAGTGATCCTCAATCAAAAATTACAGTGGCCTGACAATCCTGTAGATTGTGAAGATTCTAGGACTAAAAGTACTAATAATGTTTACAAAGTTTAGAAAGTACCTATTGAAAATTTTTAACGATTGCTTATAATTTTACATTGTTGTTGTCTGTCTGCCCGTCTGTCTATCCGTGTGCACGATAACTTTGTTTAGAAACGTCCGATCGCTTTGGTACACATGTTTTTAAGGATATAAGAATGGTCGCTATTTTTTTCAACTACGTAAATAGGGGCGAAAATTTTACAGCCCAAAAACGATTTCGAGGATATTTGTTATTCAGTGCGGTCGCGAGTGGCGCTTAATCCTTCAGCGCTTGAGGGCGGTTAAAAGTGCTAACGAGCGAAAAAAACGCTCAGGAGTGGAAAAAGCGCTCGCGAGCAGGAAAAGAGGTCGCGAGCGAAAAAAGAGCCCGCGAGCGAAGAAAAAACCGCTCGGAAGCGGAAAAAACGCTCGCGAGCGGCGCGTAACCATTCAGCGTTTTAGGGCAGTTAACAGCGCTCACGAGCCAAAAAAACACCCATGAGCGAAAAAAACGCCCACGGGCAGAAAAAAGCGCTCGAGCGCCGAGCACTTTAAGTACCTAAACGGTCTCGAACGCCAGGCGGCCGCTCCGAAAAGTGCGCTTTTTTGCTTGGCGCGCTTTTCGAGCGAAACGCTCGCGAGCAGTACCTACCCAGCTCTGCTTGGCTACTATTTTCTTGCAATTGACCTCATTACTAATTCTTTAATTTCATCTGGCATTAGCTGGGACGTGAGACTGATTATCGAAACTACGGTTTCATTACATGGCTTTGAGTGTTAAGTGTGTTTACCTGTAACCGGGCTAGCTCTTTCCCAGAAACTAGATTGTCTTTGAAAAGTTCATCTTACTAACTCATTTTGACGATGGAAGTGCTTCCAACCACATCGCCAAAATCCAGCCATATCATTGGGTCATTGGGGACTTTGAACTAGCTGGAGAGAGGAAAAAGTGCCACTCACATAGTTATTTTATGTTGCGTCTATTATTAGTCCTCATATTTTATGTGCACTTGTCTTAAGCTGATTGCAGGTTCCTTTGGACGCAGAGCTGGGCAGAGTACTTTCAAAAAGTATTTGAATACTAAATAGTAAATACTTTACACAAATCAAAGGTATTTGAATACTAAATACTTTTACGTCCAGCACACGCGAATACTAAATACAGATACATTGAAAAGTATTCAAATACCTACTTTAAAAAATAAGTACCTACCTATTCAAATACTTTAGAATATATTCGAATACTTTCAAAGGTATTCGAATACTTTCAAAAGTATTCTAATACTATCAAAGGTATTCGAATACTTTGAAAGTAGAAGTCTTAATACTATACTTAAAAAATCAAGTTATACTCGTACTTTGTATGGGGTTAGCTTTTTTTATATTTCTATTGTTATATACAAATTTAAGGGGAGTAAAAGCGTATTATTATTATTATATTATTATCTAGGAGGTACCTACCAGGACCTTTCTTACACCAGTTATATCCTTAAGAATACGTGTACCAGTTTTCAAAGCGTCGTGCACATGATACGTACGCGTCGTACGCCTTTCTGAAATTAATCCTAGCGATTTTGGAACAGATCCTTTTTTGACCATCCGTTTGTCCGTGTGCATGATAGTTTGTTTAGAAACCTGCGATCGCTTTGAAAATTGGTACACATGGTCTTAAGGATATAAGAAAGGTCCCTATTCTTTTTAAGTTACGTAGACTATCGAGTCAAAAAGTTTCACTCCAGGATCGTTCGGTTTCAGTTGTATCGGATTTTTCTATTTGATTTTGTGACAATGGAATCTTTCCCTAAACATTTCTAAATTGTTCTCAAATACAGCCATTTGAATTTTCTTTCGAAATTGGTTTCTAGTCTATAACTTTTGATTGAGAAGTCTGATCGAAAAAGTACGAATTGTTTTGGATTCTATGCACCAAAATTAATAAGAAAAAGTGTTTTCCCGAGAAATTTTGGTGCAGTCGATTTTTGGTAAAAAAGGAAGGTTATACACTGCCTTTTTTTGAGCCCTAAAAAAAATTGTCTCAGATCGACCCGGAAAAAAAAATTTCTTATAGAATGTGGCCTGTAGAATCCATAATTTCAAACAGTTCCAAGATTGGGCTACTAGTTCAAAAGTTACAGCCCTTTCAATTTTCTTTCGAAATTGGTTTCTAGTCTATAACTTTTGATTGAGAAGTCTGATCGAAAAAGTACGAATTGTTTTGGATTCTACGCACCAAAATTAAAAAGAAAAAGTGTTTTCCCAAGAAATTTTGGTGCAGTCGAGGTTAAGTATTCAAATACTATGCGAAGTATTTGAATACTTCTCAAAGTATTCAAATACCTTGCGAAGTATTCGAATACTTTACGAAGTATCCAAATACTTTGCGAAGTATTCGAATACTAAATATTTGTGAAAGTACTTGAGTTACAAATACAAATACTGCTTCCATAAAAGTTTTTAATTACAAAGTATTTGAATACTTTAAAGGATTTGAATACTAAAAAGTATTTACAATATCGAATACTGCCCAGCTCTGTTTGGACGTTACTCTTAAAAGTCTAAACTAACCAACCATTTGATGATGGTTTGTTCAAAATTAATTATTTTACCAAAGATAACTATGGCAATGGCCAACAAACCTAGCACGAAGGGAATTTATATTGATGGAAGTTAGAAGATAAAACAATTATAAGTAAATAAATAAAATAACACTAACAATAAAAGATTTATTATATAAGCAACTAGAATCTGAGGCACAAAATAACTTCACTATCGAAGCTTTACCGTATCATTTGGACAAAATGTTTCAGCAGTACAATGTGGCATAGCACTTAGACAGTGGTTAATTGCTTAATACTTACTCAACATGTTGTATTAGGTCTATTTGCCTACACTTTCGATTTTAAAAAAATATACGAATAGACATATTTAATGAAAAATAATAAAATAAAAATATATTGGGGGAAACCCATTAATCAGTGCGAAGTTACCAACCCCGAGGATGTTGTTGCTGAGGATAAGTTCCAGGTGGATACGATTGTTGAGGATAATTTCCTTGTGGATAATTGCCTTGTTGTGGATAACCTCCGGGATAGCCTTGTTGAGGAGGATATCCTCCAGCGTAATTGTATGGCGCTGCCATTTAAAAGTTTTAGAATTCGTTCACTTAGCAATACACATACCTTGTTGGTATCCCCCGCCATACGGATTGTAGCTTTGCGGCATAGGTGGTGGGGCGTATGCGGTATAGGGAGCCGAACCGGGTGCAAAAGGTACTGGCATACCCTGCACATACACCGGGTACGGTAAATTGGACGAAGTTTGCACTGGTGGAGCCGATGTTGGTGAAGTTGGAGATGGTTCAGTTTTCTTGACTTCTTTAAATGTACAGCAACAATGTCAAGTTTTTAGAGCATACATTCTACTCACCATTATGGAAAGATGGTTGAGATGGTGGAGGCAATGGTGTTGTTTGGCGACTGCATTCCTGAGTTAAGTCCTTCATTAGTTCTTCCTTTTCGGTTTTACGAGCAAAACAATAATCTGAAATTTTGTTTTGGAACACCACTAACAGCTGAAATGCAAACTTAGGACTGTGCACATTATTTCCCCTGTCTTATTACCTGAGTTAGATCATTGTAAAATTGAGCGCCCTCTTTTAAATTGCTTTGCAAATCACGAAACGCGTCGTGTGCTGCAGCTAAGTGACACATCATACTGTCCCTACCACCTGCGCTTGTTCCAGTCTCTTGGGAAAATTGCTGATGTGCAGACTACAATTTCAATTAGTAATCTCACTTTCGCCATCATGAATCTAACCTGTATCCTCGCAATTAAGTCCTCCTGTTTATCTATGCTCTCTTTCACCTGCTTTTGCAGCGGACCAAATGATCGACCGATGCTTTCCATAGATAGCGCCGGTTCATTGATACCTCCATCATTTGACAGTGACGACAAAAACTGCTCCTTCATATCCACAGTTGCACTTTTAAGCTCAGTTTCGATAACATCCCTTTCAGCCTTAACCGTTTCCACCTATTTACCCAGTAAACAATAAAGTTCTTAGCAAATTCAAAACAGACCTCTTCCATCAGCTGACGTAGGGTTTGCACCGCTGATGAATTCGAAACTGATCCACCTGGACCCGCCGGAACTGCTGACTGAAGTTCGCCTGGTGACTTGCTGAGCAATTCCATCCCCATTCTGTGACTTTCAAATTTCTCTCTAACAGTTTTATCAGCCTGAAAATACCAAAAATAATAATATATGCTACTATGCCTACTATGAACTAGCATCAAGAGGGTAGCATACAAGGTATACGAATATTTAAAAGGGTGGTTCTATATGACAAATTAATTATAGAGGTGTTGTTAAACATTGAAGAAAAACAGAAAAGTAGTGTATATTTTTCGAACCACTAAGATTTAATAAAACAACACTTTTTCCAATAAAAACATGCCCTATTTTTAATTGAAAAAAGGATAATCCAATGGGTTTTTTTTTCTACCAAATTATTTTTGCATTACTCATTCAATTTCAAAGGTAAGCGCGCGGAATTGGAATTATTGATTAAAAATGTTTCTACCATTAAGAACTCAACTAAGTTTTTGTCTTCAAATTTGCCGATGCAAATGGCCTTAAGTAAATATTAGTAGAGATACCCTGTATACTGTATAGGATATTAAATTTAAAATTCGTCATACATTCATAAGTTATTCTTATCAGTAAGCAGAGAAAACAAAATGGAATACATTTACATTAATAAATTACCCAATTAATATTCCATAAGAGGATCATACAAACCTGAATTGCATTGTTGATAATTTGGCGATATTTGGCAGCATTTGAGCGAAACATTTCCGTAAGTTTATCAGAAGGAGTCCTAGTCCATCGCTCCTTAAATTGTGCTCTCAAAGAATCGTCCGACTGTTTTTCCTCATTTAACATACGGTCTGCCTGTAATTGCGAAAGGATCACCCTTCCCATTTGGTGTGAGGCAAAACGACCTTACCTCATCCAGAATATCTTGATTTCTTTTTAGCAATTCTGGTAATTCGGTGATTAGAGAGTTTAAATGGGTAAGGCCGCCCAACTGGCGAACTGCCTCGGATTTTTCCAAAATTGAAGGGGGCAACGAATTTCCTCCTTGGGTAACTTCAATTGCTGCTGGTAAATTTAATGATGCCAATACGCTAAAAAATTTTACAGTTTCAGATAATAGATTTGTTAAAAGGTCATATGCGAACACCTCACACGAGACAATTCTCAGAAGGACAACACAAGTAAAATGCTAAATTAATCACACTCAACCTCAATGTACACTTAAAACCACCACATTGTCACCTGGCCTAGACATGATTCAATTATGGGCAACAAAAAAATTATCTCCAAACTCCACTTACCTCCTTACTAACATAAACAATTGAATGCGCTGCAGCTAAAAATAATAACAATCTGTCTGTTTCAAGCTATACTTTGATTATTTAAATCCCAAATAAGAACAAGTGCTCGAACAAGTGCTAATCACTGTCCACTTGACTTTACCTACGTAAAAATGTGTATTTACCTCAAATACTTAACTATTTATTATACTAAACATATTTGTAATTACGAAATTGTTGGCTACAGTATTTCACTGAGCAACAAAAAAACTTCCTACTGCTCAAAAGTGGATAAGCATAGGCTAAAATCTGCATGTAGATCACCACTGATAAGCGGCGATAAAACCAAAAGTCCTTAGCAAGCGATTTAGTACGTAAATGAAATTAAGAAATCAACATCACTAATAAATATTACACTACCAATATGCGGGAATGTTCAAGAAAATCATTAAAATTGAAAGCAAACTGTATTCCTAAATAGCCATATTTATGGTGCATTATAGTTTGGGGAAAAGATAAGATTTGTTTGTGAGCAATACTCATTTAAATTATATACTAGTAAAGCATACCTATTCAAAAATTGTGTAGAATCACGTAATTTTGATATTTCCCCATTTTGAATTTCATTCTTCCGAAGCTCATAAGCTGCCATTGCTTGATGGACAACGACAGGCACAAGTTCACTGAACAAATCTAAAAGAAGGCACAACATGAGCAGATTAACGTTGACAGAAAAATATTTACCTTGGAAATTTTGGCTTAAAGGATAACCCAAGGGTACGATCTTAGCAAGTTGTGCTTTCCCAATAGCAGCAACAGATTTGATATCGGGTATTCTTTCGTGGTAAATAAAGTCATTGTCTTTTTTTGCTTCGTTTAAATTTCTTTGTGCTTTGTTGGCAAAATCTTGGAACATAGCTGCCTTTCCAGATCTGGTTTGTGCAGCTTTGAAAAGTTCCATGGCGCTCTAAAACAATGTGTAAATGATGCTAAAATTGAGTAGGTAACTACTTTACCTCAAGTCGAGTGATCTGTTCCCCAATAATCTTGTTGCTCTTACATACGAGACTTTGATAATACTCGGCTATAGCATGATAACCCGCCTGCTTCCCTGCAATCTGAAACATAGTGTCAATGGCAGTCGCTTTCGCATTATTGCAAAACACATACAGTGGCTATCCAGTCGCGATCCCAAAGTTGCTTTAAATTTTCACGTTGAAACATTTTCAAACATTCACTATATAAGTCTTCACACTGCGACGATAATTTCGCAACAATTTGATCCTTCATTTCATCTGAGGAGATTATTTCAATTCAGTATCGGATATTTAATGAGGGGGATTCTTACCGTGAATAGCTTTCAGGACAAATATTTCTTGGGCCTGAGCTAACATTAACGCCGACAATGCTCCAAGAGTATCGGGATTTAAATCTGGTGTCGGATCTTGTTGAATCGATAACATTACTGTAGATTTCAAATGGGAAAAAATGCCTGCAGCTTGCTAAAACAATTTCATAAATTAAAATATTAGAAGTAGTTAAGTTTGTTTACTTAATTTATATTCCACATAATGTACAGAAGTTTTTGGAAAATATACTTCCCAGTTCGTTAATAATAATAATAATAATAATAATAATAATGTGCCATTTTATACTTCTAAAATAAACATAAAGCTATATAAAACGGTAAAAAAAAACTATATTGTATTATCATATCTTTTAAAAATAATTATTATAGCAAGTACAATGCACAAAGATGAAAGTTATACAATTACAAAATTACTTGGCAACTCCTTGAAGACCTTATTTACTTTCTGATAAATAACAAATTCATATATCTGAATCAAAGTCACGTTAATGACACTTAAAAATTGTAAATATAGTAGGAAAAATGTAAGGATGATTAAACTGTGTAAAAAAAACTTAATCCGTTGGACTATGGTTTACATCGAAAACCGCTGTATTTTAATTCTACAAGAGACAAATTATCCAAAGGACCCTGAAGATTTGTCTAAGCCATTTAATTGCCAGACTATGCTTCAGAGAAAAAGTATGTCCCTGCAGAAGATTGGAACTAATGTGTTGTGACTTTTGTAAATGTAAAGGTAGTGTTTTGGACCAATGCAAAAACCGTGGGAAGTAATCAGTGAAACTTTCTTTAACAAATTAAAATCGAGCCATTGTGTGGGAAAATATTCTTAAACAAAAATCTAGCAACGTGGCGGCCATTTTTAAATATGGCGACCAAACCACCATGATCTGGTCCATGTGACCAATGTTTTTTAAGCTCCGGCCTATAGGTGTTTAATAAGGATCCGCTCAAAAACTTAGAGGACATGAGGTTTTGAAAAATGGAAAATTACAACTAAAAGTATGAACAGATGCAGATTTTTTTCTCTAAAAAAAACGTATTTAGAGTTTTGCTCTAAAATAATTAGGGGAGCTAGTAATTGACTATAAAGAAATTACCATTGAAATCCCAATGCTGCGTTGCGCTAGGCACCACCCTGTATAAGAAAAATTTTAATACTTTATCTGCACCGACTAAAAATGTAATACCTAACTAATTCAATTCAACATAAAGGGAGTGCCCAACAAAATACTTTTTCAAATTCTTTAATCTAATGGGACACCTTGCATATTTTTATAGTTTTGAGTAGCCCTGTATTTAATGATTACAAATATATTATATAACAGTAGTTTCATTCCTCGTTCATTCTTTACTAACACATTTCTATTTCTTGAGGAAGTGGTACAAGAATTTGTGTTTGTTCATACAAGAACTGCGCCAATTTCTGCGCAAAAGCGTAAAACGCGACCTTGATCATTGAGTTATGTTGTTAAGAGTCTTCTTTACCTAAGCGCAACTTTTTTACATTATAGTGTATAGATGATTATAGCTGCAAGAGATAAGATGAATTTCTTGCTTTGTCAACTCCTGTCTTGGTCCTTAGTTAGTTCCCACCGACACTGGGCAGCGGCTGCACTTGTTACACTCAAATTGTTGATTTATCGCCCGCCAAGATACAGACATTATTTACAAAAATTATGATTTAATTTTTTGGGGTCATGTTTAGAAGTAACTTATCTAAAAAACTGTCGGTTTACTTTTTCCATAAATCGTCTTAATCGAGAGTAAAAAAATAAAACAGATTAGCGCAATAATCGGTGCGAAACATCTAATCTTTAAACAATCGGTATTCAGTTGCTATAAACTTTTTAAAAAAAATAGTCCGAACATTTTGTAGATAAAGGTCTAAATTTATAAAATAGTTCTTAAAAAAATGGTTTTTTGAAAAACAACTAGAGTTTTTATGGCGGGCGCTCTTATGGAAATTTACATTGGGTGCAGTGGGTACAGAAGACTCTTAACCAGTAATAAAAAAATGGTTTATTTATGATTCTTAATTTTCGTAGCTTCTTATAGTTTGAGATGAGAAATGTTTAGTTTTTTCATATGCATGACGATTTTGTATAGTAGCAGTTACTGCTATCTATATGTTTCACAGTGGGTGCGTTCACCAGACGAAGCGCTTCACGAACGTTACAAAAATGTCTGTTGAACAACTCGCTCAACTAGCACTTAAAAATCACTACTATGAAATACTAAAAAAATTGTATTTGAAATACAAAATGTATGTATTTCTAAAGGCCTGTTTAGAGTTTGCAAGTTTTATTGCAGGCAATAAAAATTACGGCAATATTTATTGCTGCAACAAATAGCAAGTGTTTACAGTCTGCAATTTTCATTGCATAGTACCAACCCTATAACTTTAAATAAGTGTGTACAAAATATCTTCGATTTATCATTTGCATTTAACTTGTTCTTCACTTATCTATTTATTGTGCATTTCAATCAAGATGAACAACAGAGATATCAAAATATCTGCACACTTCACATCGTTGGTGCCATAATTCTAGATGTTGGCATTAAAAATTCCCCTAAAATAGTCACCAGAATTGCAATTGCAATGCAATAAAAATCGCTCCGGATCTACTTCTAGCAACGCAATAAAAATTGCAACAGTTGATCGAAAAGTACACTTGCGCGCATGTGTGCAATAAATATTGCTGCAATTTTTATTTACCACAATAAAGCTTGCAAACTCTAAACAGACCTTTAACACACATCACATGCAAGTATTCCAATAGTGCCAAGCCTTGTCATTATCCACATGTTATTTGAAGAACCGAAAAATCAAAAAATAGTCATGCAAGTAAAAGTTTGTTGATCTACATTTTACAAAACTCACAAAATCAGCTCTAGCAGCAAGAAAAGGTCGAGGAAAAGGGCTCTAAAATAACCTATAGCAGAAAAAAACGAACCAAATAACACCCAGTTTGTATTTTTCGTGTTCGTGAGTTAGTGATAATAGTATATTACATTATGAGGAGCTAAAGTGTTACTTTTTATGGCGAGTCAGTGTTCCAGCAAAATACTGACGAGCCATAAGAAGTGACTTCAACTACTCCTCCATTTGAAGTAAAAACCAATCCAGTTTTTGAAAATACTTCATTCATTCATTAGAAATAAGACGAGCTAAACAAAACTTGACTCTTCAAAACTTGGATGCTGCAGGAACGAGCTCAGAGTTTAATTTCAATAATGGTAATATGACTAACAGCACTTTCAACATTAACTATTATTTAAATAAATAAATAGCTTCTTTGATCGACTATATTTTTATTTCTGTTAAAATTAGAAGGAAAGATCAACGCACTTGCTAGGTGAACGAAGAACCTAATGTAAATAACATCAAATTGTCAAAGCAAAACAATGTGACACTGGCACTGAAGGGTTTTAATGCCTAGGCACTAAAATACTTCACTGCCGCTTGTTCGATTGTTCTAAAAAGTCAAACTTTAACTCAGTGCTGGGCTACGTAATGTCAATATTATATGACGTTTGAAGAAAAAATATTTTTTAAACTACATTATTATAAAAGTCGAAGTAGCATAACATAAAGGAAAGTAAGTCAGTAGTAGATAAATATGCTGCATCAGAAGAGCAATTGTTTAAATTGCTTCCTACATAACATTTAAATCTTTAATGCGACTCTTAAGTGAACACATTACAAAAATCTTTTGTGGAATTACCTGCAACAGTTTAGCGGCCAGTTTCAAGCTTTCATCATTCTCAACACTTTGTGTTGCAGCCACTGAACTCTGTAGCGCTGCAATGTTAAAGAGGATGCACATTTTTTCGTATGCCAAAGATGAAATTGCTAAAAAAATCGACACTAACTTGGGTTAATCCTGATACCTTCAACTTACTTAAACTTATTCGACCACCAAAAATGGACCCTTTATCGAAAGCATCCTTCCACTTGAAGGGTATTTGGACTTCTTGTGCGGGTACTTTCGTTTCCAAAGAAACAAGTTGATCATAGTAGCTGCAATACAAATTTCGTTAACGATACAAGAACAAACGAGTAACAAGACGGACCTGTAAATGACTTCCAACGAACTTTCGTACTTCTCAAATGCTCGCCAGATAGCATTATTCCGTAACTTGGAAAACTCGTTGATTTGTTCAGAATAGTCTTCGGGTTGGTCCGCAGTGCTGTACCTGGACTGAATTAGATTCTTCAAGGGGTTCACAATATCAACTTCTGACGGTTTCTTTAAGGGCACCGATAATAAATCTGCCATTTTTAGGTATTGAGGAATTCACAAAGGAATTCTGGACACCAATTATTTATTACAGTGGTATTTTGAAGAGGTGATATCACCTCCAACCAATCTAAATCTTTCTTTTATTTAGGATGATTAACCGTCAAGGACAATGGTCAAAGTACGAACTGTCTACGAATACATTGCGAAGAAACCCGGACGTGACTGCATTGCGGTAGGGTAGGGACAATTTCAATGTGCTACGATGCCAGATCTAACAGAAAAGTCACCTTTTTTCGTTGGTTACTATATACAAGGCTTTTATTTCAAAACAAGAACGTTAAAAGTGCCTAACGTCCTTGTTTCAAAACAAACCACTTTAGTTTTTACCACGGTGGTATACACAGGTCTGGAACCTTAGATCATAATGTATGATGTAAGCTGGAAAACCTTTCTTTGAGATATACGTCACAGAGCCCGCCACAATCATTATTCATATCGTTTTGAATAAACCCTTAAAACCGCACATGTTCATTATTTTTTTGCTAATCAGCCTCTATTTTTAAATAATTTACTGTCCAAAAAAATGTTTTATGGTTTCAGGTAGGAAAACGCTTATTAAATTAGAACTACGGGGAATTCAACTATACTGTAAACCCCCATTTAGTGTACCTATAATAAGGACAATAAACACCAGCCGCTTAAAAAATGTATTGACATTTTTAACATTTTATAATTTTATACAAGCAGATTACGCTTGCTGTTAGAACAAGTGCATTTGTGCTAATGTAGGTATGCAAACAAAAGAATAGACGTAATAATAATAAAATAATAATATAATAATAATAGCAGCTTTTCACGTGTTTAGTACATATGTTAGGCGCAAAGACCGAAAACGGCCATTGAGCGAAAAAAACCGCCACAACGCGTTTTGGGTAATGCCAATTGACCACGTAGCGTTCATTAGGTTTTTTTCGCTTTGTGGGCGTTTCAAAATAGCCACTACGCGTTCTGAACAATCTAACTGTACCATTACGAGAATTCGCGTTGTGGCTGTTAACTGTTTTCAACCACAACGTCCACATCACGTTCTAAAAAATAGTAAATATTCAGAACCCATTGTGGGAAATCGTCGGGAAGCACACAGGGGTTTGTCAGCTGCAATTGCAAGCGATGCTGCAGCGACAAAAAGTGCAAGTGCAAATCCAAAGACGTGAAATGTAACTCAAAATGCCACTCCAACAGCTCTTGCAAAAATAAATAAAGAACACTTACGCAAGGAAGAGATAGTATCAAAAAATCGTATGTAGCTCTCTGTAAGTTGTGGTTCCTAAGCTAATAAAGTTTCCTCCCGTTTCACAAAAACTACCCAGAATGTTTAATAATCACGTCGTAGCTATTGGAAAAACTAGTCACAATGGGTTCTACTGATATTTGGTATTTTTAGAACGCGTTGTGGTTGAAAACAGTTAAGAGCCGCAACACGAATTCGCGTAATGGTACAGTTAGATTATTCAGAACGCGAGGTGGCTGTTTTTAAACGCCCACAAGCCGAAAAAAACGTCAAGAACGCTTCGTGGTCAAGTGAAATCACCCAAAACGCGTTGTGGCCGTTTTTTTCGCTCAATGGCCGTTTTCGGTCTTTGCGCCTAACACATATAATTAATCGGTTTGCCTTTATTGAAAGGTGCTACTGTTAAATTCACTAAGATCGGTCCACAAATAAGAGTTACTTCTGCGAATACGCGCACGTTGGTTTTCACATGTTTAATTCATTAAACAATTGATTTGGCTTCATTGAAAGGTGCTACTGGTAAAATTTCATCATGATTGGTAAATTGGTTCATAAATAAGAAAGTGAAGGAGCCAGAAACGTAATATAAAAAATTACACAAATTCTGCATCGGTCGGGAATCGAACCCGGGTCGGTCGCGTGGTAGCTACAACAATTCAATGCTACAACCATTGTTGCTACGCGTCGGTCCGGTGCAGCGCGCTCTGTGTGAGTATCTTAGATCATATAAACAATGATCTAAGGTGAGTTGAGTATAGTATAGGCAGGGAAATGCGCGAGCTGCGCGCCCCCACTTCGCTCTAGTGAGCGGTACCTAGACGAACGACGACGACGACGGCTAGCATGTTATATATGGATATGGATCTGTAGGTAGATCGACTAATCAGGATAACTAAATTATGACACTCAAGTGACACATTTTTTTATTACCTATGTTGTACACCATTTTACAGCCCGCACTTATTTTATGTCTTAACATAATTTTAAGCGACGCAATCCCATACAGAGACTTGAGAAGTATCCTCAGCAAAAAAAATACCATCAATTGGCTCGATAGTTTCAACAACAGCGACGTTTCACCAAATCCTTATTGTCGAATATGTTGTATAACTATAAAATCTGAAACTATCGGGAAACAATGCGGCTGGCACACACTCTGCAAATATAAGGTGGGTTGCTGTTGCAGTAATATGCCAGTTGCATGCGGTCTCCAATTATAGCAAAATGAGGTCGGCCGCAAATGTCGGGGATATATTAAAATTCACTTTACAAAATCCGAGAGGGACGCACTTTTAGACGCTCACAATACACTCAGAAATTACGTGGCTAGCGGACAAGAAAGGCGTGGAAATCCGGGACCTCAACCCAGTGCCTCCAATATGAGAGCCTTACAATGGAGCGAAGAACTGGCACTGGTAGCAGATCGATGGATTAGTCAGTGCATATACTCCAATGATATTTGTAGAGATCTAGGTTTGCAAATGCATTTAAATTATTAGTACCTTAATTACATATTGTAGACCGGTTTCCGGTGGGTCAAAATATTGTACGGGGAAACTTTGCTACGAATGATTTACTGTCTTTCATTAAAGAGTGGTACGATGAAGTCTTGTACTTTAATGCCATTGAGGTAGACTCCTTTCATTTGTATGTATCTATAAATATGAAAAAGAATTTCAATTGCCAAGTTTTAGACCAGATGGAAATAGTTCATTATTTACCAAATATACGCAAATGATGTGGGCAGACACATATCAAATTGGTAAGATTTTGTATAAGTAATAATGTGTTCATTAATCTGTTTTCTGTATGGTAAGGTTGTGCCAGAGCAGCTTTTCAGACTCCGATAGGTTCCAAAGTAAGTTACGTAGAACACTTTTTCTGTAATTACGGGCCGTCTGGAAATATTCCAAATCAACCAGTTTATTTAAAAGGACCAGCCTGCACTGCATGCCCTGAAGGAACAAGTTGTACTTTGGAGTATCCCGCACTTTGCGAAGGTGAAAAAAATATATATACTTATATAGGATCCAAATATTCACTGGTCGTTATATTTGTAGTGGATATAGCGATAGAACTGGAAAAAGCAGCCTCAGGTATAATGGTGCGGAAGCAAAGCCTTAAATCAAGGGTGAAGTATCATAATACTGGAGCTTCATCAGTGAAACCACCCTTACGGAGTTATGCGTACATATTTCTTCTGTATTGGACATTTTTATAATTGTGATATATCATAGAAAAAAGTAACGTTTTTCCGAATTAGAAAAACACTGTTGTATACCAGAGGGCTATCGAATTCATAAACATCCGTACTGGACATTGTTTTTTGCGACTCTGTAATTATTAAAAAATTACATATAATTATAAAATAGGCAAGGCGAGACGCAAGGTATAGATCTCATAGGGGAACGAAATAACATCCTCTACTACTCTCGGCACCCATTACTATAATGATCCATTTATTTTCCAGTCACTAAACACAAAGCGCCGTATTCAATCGAAACGTAAGAATAAGAATGGCATTTTACAACTTATCCCGTATATAGAGGGTACCACCGTCACCATCATTAATTTGTCAACGACCTTCTTTTTTGTCGGCAGCCTGTGTGCAGATGTGAGATGTGTCACGTTCGCCTTTAGTTTCAATATTAATTAACATTGATAAAAACTGCATTATGTACAGATGCACAGTGATATTTTAACATACTTAGGTAGGTATTAATTTTTTTATTTTTTAAATTAAAATTAAAAAGAAAGCAAGGACTGAACTTGTTAAGCGATCAGGTAAACAAAGAAAAAATCTTTTAAAAAATGGGGGTCCCTATTTGAAAATAAAAGGTGTATGACGCTAAAAACTAAAAATATTTGTAAAAAATGTTTTTAACAGTCATTAAGGTTCCTCCTTTTATTTTTACTCGTAGTTAGTTGTACATTGTAAAATCAGGTCTCAATACTTTTATAAAAATTCTAAGATATTTTTGAAAAATGTCATTGCGGGGCCCCAACATTTTTTTTTCAAAAATCCGTGCCATTATTTTTCATTCCCATATGGTTAATATACATATCCAGAACTCAAACAAAACCTGTCAAGTCGTTACCTCGAAAAATTGGCAACGGACGTACTTACAGGGTGTTTCAAATTCGTGGCTCATCATTGGGATCTCTGAAATGATGAAAGATGCAGTTTAGGTTAAATGGGGGCAAAGTTGTGATTTTTATGGTAAACAAATTATCCGAGAAGTTTTAGATACTACACCCTGTATTAATAGGGATGTAATGGAAGTGGTTATATCGGAACCGAATTCTGAAGCAGAGTTTGGTTTATTGGAACGGAAATCGGAAATGGAACCGTAATCACAGGCAGAAGAGAGAAGAAAGTGCAAAATCAGTAGGAAGTTCCGCTCTTTCAATTTTAGTAACAAAAACAGATAATTCTTTCAACACGCAAATAAAGAACACAATCGAACTGTTGTTTTGTACAAAAGCTATTCGCGTCAATTGTTTGAAAATTTAATGAAATTGAAGCATCTTTTAACAATAAATGAAAGATCAACAACTATTCTGAAAGAATGTAGAAAATTTGCTGTGACTAGCACAGATACCACCCGCACACTGTATAAAAGTAACGAAATGTGCTAACGTTGGGTTAACCATTACACTGTACTAAATAGAAAATAAATTTCAAATTGACTAAGATTACTAACAATGATTATTTTAATTTATTATTCAATCAGAATTACATAAACTTATATAAAAGTAATTTTTTTTCTCTCAAACTATCTTAATAAGTCTAATATAAAAGTAAACTTATACAGACACGTCATTGATCAATATTATTTATATGTACAATTTTTACAATGTTTAGTGTAATATAATGTAATAGTAGTTATGCTATTGGTCATTTCAACAATTGAAACTGTGTATCGTTATGTAATAAACTACCTTTAGATAACATCTATTTAATAAATATTTATAAAGAATATAAATAATATAATAAAGGTTTGTGATCAGCATTGGTGATTGGTTTTTGCCATTCTGTTCGTAAACTTAAAAAATATGAAGTGCAAAAGAAAAAAGTTTCGTGAATAGAGAGTAAATAGGTTATAAGTGTTTCGCCTTACATTCTTTCAAGATTTTATTGAAACAGCCACACATTATTCAAGCTTCAAGATAAAACACAATCGTCGTAACTTTAAATGACGATTATAAAACAAATTAAGCACATTTCACAATTAACGACAAACAAATTATAGTTTACTGAGATCAATTTTGTTAGTAGTATGGTCAATCAACGATAAATGCCTACAAAAGTCATTGTTAGTAGAAAACCAATAAAAATGCATAAACTCAGTTCACCCGTTATAAATATTATATGAAACATACCCTCAGACAAAATATATAAATTTTATTTAAAAATACAGAAAATCAATTAAGTGCTATCACAACAATGGTGTTAAAGTTCATTGGCACTAAAGGTCACAGAGTTTTTAGACTAGCACATTCCTGAATCTGGATCAGGAGTCGAACCCCCCTTTAAAAAAAAGCTTGTCATTACACATCATTTGATAGAGCAATATTAGAATAAACTTAGTACAATTACATCACGAATCCACTAGAATCCCTTGCATTTGGTTACTAGCACAACTTATACGATGTGATTGCACCACTTTTATTCTGATATCACTCTAATACCTACTTGTACATTCCCGTTCGCTCTAGGTTGAATAAATGGATTAATTGAAACGGTACCTAAGTTTGATGAACCTAAGTCACTAAAATGAGATAGTTGTTGAGTTAGAGCCATTGTCCCTTCTTCGACTACTGTTATAATCGCCCATAAAGGATCTGTAACAAAAATAAGATACTTGAGTGAGTGAATTAGTTAAGTGTATACCAGTGCTTTCATAATTAGTTGTAAAATAGTCAATTTAAATTAAATCGCAATTGAAGATTTAAGTTAAACAAGAGGAGTCATTTTTTGGGGTGCAATAGACATTCTCAAAAGTAGAAACACCATAAGGTACATTTTTTAAAAAGAACTCTGTAACTGCTTCCAATACTGTAAGCACATCATCCAAATAAATTCAAAATCTTTTTTATGAAATTTTTACTCAAATTTCCATACCAAAAAAAAACGGAAGCAATGCCAAGGCAAGAGAAGATATGGCAGACAGATGGATACAGGCTGTCAATGAGATGTTTGAAATTAATCTTAAAATTAATACATGTGAAGGGTCTCTGCAACTGTTCAGCCTTAAGAGATTAGTAAGACCTTAAAATAATTGATAGGTATACTTGAAGCATAATATATGACCTAAGCGTCAATATTATACCTATCATTTTTTAAGGACTTACTAATCTCTTAAGACTGAAGGCCATGGAGACTCCGTCACACACATTTATTTAGATTTTTGGTCGATTACTACATAATTTCCTTTGAAATGTGTCTATGTTTATTTTCTGTGCAAAATTATAAAGTTTTAGCCTTTGTTTATTAATTAATAGTTATTCCATCGACCGTTAGTACTTTGGGTAAAGTTCAGGTGTTTATTAAGTACGGTAGGCTTCGGAAGCAATCGTTTCATTTGAAATGCCATTCGATTCAAATGTTAAACAGTGTTATCTTAATAACACATGTCAATTTGTTATTAAAGTAAAAATAGTTGCCATTAAAAAAATGTATGCCCCCCTTGACCATGCAAAGGTATGCCACTTATAAGAAATTAGATTGGTAGCAAACTTTTTATAATTATGGATAGCATACAAAACTTGCAAACATTGTAGTTTTGCAGATATATCAGCGTTCCAGACAAAATGTCCACCCTGTATAAGTCCACACGTGCTACAGTGGCACCACGCTCAGAAAGTCCCTGACAGGGCGTATCCGAGGGCGCTAGAAATTTAGACCGTACATTCTGATGCAAAATTTAAAAACACTAAGGGAATTACATACCTTATCAGATCGTAGATCCAAGCTATATGCGTCTTGAAAAAGACGAGTTTGTATAAAACTGGAGACGGAAAACGTAAAATAAAGCAAATACAACAGGAAAAGTGTAAACTAAATTAACGTGAAGCGTCAACTGTCAAAACGGAATAATTAATAATTATGGCGCGGAATGTATCGCGTCGTTTTGCAGACTTTCTATTGGCCAGCCTGAATTATTTCAAAATTAGTTCGCATATTTTCCGGGGCTTTTCTGAGCATGGTGGCACTGTACTAATCGTATTTGTCAACTGCTGCATCACCCAATAAAGCTATATTATTATTATTATTTCGGGAAGTACTGATCAATTCATGGTAAATGCGCTGTATTTACTCGCCTTAAGCCGAAAACCTTTTTTCATTTTTTGAGTGGCTCCTAAACAAAACACGTTGCACCCTAGGTTTATTTGGAAAAGTGCTTGTTTTGATCCTCTCTACCACCCAATTTTTTTTTGCGCATTTTTTAAGAATGTGCTTTTGTTCGCATTTTGTCTGCCCCAACCCACTTCTGCCATATTGAACTACTTTTAGGGCATTCCCCTAGAGTCCTGGATTTTTTTGCAATAGGTAACCTATACCTTGAAACCTTGAAGGTGTGCCAGACGGCAAGAATAACTTTTACATGCGACAACTAATTAGTCTCTTAAGTAAAACTTCAAAATAGGGGGGGGGAATGAGCACACGTTCTACCCTTCTGGTAGTCTCAAACAAGCTATTCCACGCCACTCCTTATTGAAAATTACTGGGGGGGGGGGGCGATAGAAATTAATTTTATCCTTCATTGTACTCTAATGATATGATAGGTCTCAACAAAAGGAATTAATTTCTACCGATATAGTCTTCCTCGCATATATCTCAAGAACAGATTGTCAGAGGAGGGTACTCACAAAGGGCATTTCGCCTTTGGGAGTACGTCCGGTATTAACTTCTACAACCTTCTTCCAGAACACGTTAAATGATGCTCAACGGCTCAATAGTTCAACAGAAAACACATTTTTTGTTAACAAAATGTTACTACACCATACGTTGATGATTGTAAGAACCTGTGATACGTATTCCTGTGGCCCCACGTTGGGCGCCAAATAAATAATGCTGTTCGAAATGGTATGCGGTCATTATACCACCCAACAGATACTTCCCTACCTAAGTTAAATTACACAAGTTCATTGTTTTTTCTTTTAATTCTCCCTCAGGACACGACTGGGTTCCGACACACCGTTCTCTCTCTTTCATTCTTCCTATTTAAGCAAAAAGCACCTACTCTTAACAAATTGAACGGTGTTATTAACCCGACTTCACTTGAAATTTCTCTCTGTCGCCAGAACTGATAAATACCTGCATTACTTTTCTCGCACGTGACATTGTTTGTTGAAAAACCAATTAATTCTTGTCCAATAACAATTTTTTATCAACACTTGACCAGATAACACTTTAAACTCACGTAAAAAATTGAAAACTTTTAATTAAATGTTCCCTTAGTGATCTGTTTTAAATATATCATAGAAACTAAATACATACAACAAATAGAATTAAAGAGCATTGAAAGTTGTGGAGGTGTCATTGGTTTTGCTGTAGGTCAAACGCCAGAAAAAAATAGTTTGTAAAATCTCAAAATCTGATTTTTTCGAAATATTTCAAAAAACAAAAATTTTTCTGGAATTATCTTCTTAGACCTTATTTAACCGAATTTCTTTCTCTTACCCCTTCTCGAAAGACCACACTCCTTATCTTGGCCACAGTGTATATTATATTACTTTGGAGCATTTTGATTGATCAATTTCTTTGTGTGTGTTCAGTATATCACGTATAGTATGGTCTGAATAGCTTTATGAAAAATATTGAAAAATACTGAGTGATGTGTATTCATCCATTTTTTCAGGATCGAATGACAAAAGAAAAATGGTCTAAGGCCCCACTAATAAAAAAAAACTTTTACATAGAAGACCCCGCAGTTGCAGCAATGACTGCAGATGAAGTTGCTAAATTTCGCGAAGATAATAATAACATTGTGGTTGCTAGAGCGCTGTCTAAAACACCGAACGATAATAAACCGATACCTAACCCAGTTCGAACATTTGAGGAAGCTTTCCGAAATTATCCATTAATATTGGAAGAGATCAGGAAGGCAGGTTTTGAATCTCCGTCGCCGATTCAGCGGCAGGGTTGGCCGATTTTGCTGAGCGGGGAAGATCTGATAGGAATCGCGCAAACCGGAACAGGCAAGACTTTAGCTTTTTTGTTACCTGCACTAATACATCTCGATGGTCAACCCACACCAAGGGAACAGCGCGAAGGTCCGGGCGTGCTTGTGATCGCACCCACACGAGAGTTGGCCTTGCAGATCGAACGGGAGGTTAAGAAATATCACTACAAAAATATTAAGGCGTAAGTTATTTTTTATACTTAGGTTTATGCCCAGAGTCTTTGTTCAATGGTAAAACCGGTTTTACCTTTTCAGGTAGTATTCAAATAAACATTTCCATCTTTCAGAGTGTGCGTATATGGTGGCGGCGACCGAAAAGAGCAAGTGAATATAATAACCAAGGGCGTTGATATTGTAATTGCGACACCTGGCAGATTGAACGATCTGGTCCTTGCCGGTACTGCACTTCCAAACATTCTAATAATTATTTACGCTAGTTTTACAGGATATATATCGACCGAAACGTTTACCTACGTAGTTCTGGACGAAGCCGATCGTATGCTGGATATGGGTTTTGAGCCTCAAATACGTAAAGTGTTGTACGAAATTCGGCCTGATCGACAAACGGTTATGACCAGTGCAACATGGCCGTCTGGTGTTCGCAGATTAGCTGACTCATATATGGTAAATCCAGTTCAGGTTTATGTAGGATCTTTGGATTTGGCTGCTGTACATACTGTCACTCAAACAATTATCATGTTACCAGATGGCGAAGAGGAGAAATTTCAAACGGTAAGCGTTGTGCACCATGTGATTATTTCAACTTAAAATTTCAGTTTATGGATTTCGTACATAGCATGCAACCTGATGACAAGGCCATTGTATTCTGTGGGAAAAAGGCTAAGGCGGATTATTTAGCCTCGGAGCTTGTAATAAATGGTATTGATTGCCAAGCAATGCACGGCGATCGTGAACAGTGTGATCGTGAACAAGCATTGGCAGATATTACAGATGGTACCGTTCAAATTCTCATAGCGACAGATGTAGCATCCAGAGGAATAGACATAGAGGACATATCGTGAGTAAGATTAGTTTTGAAAATTTATTTTAATTCTTATTTTTATAATAGACATGTCATCAATTATGATTTTCCAAAGAATATAGAAGAATACGTCCACAGAGTGGGACGTACAGGACGGGCCGGTCGTTCGGGATGTTCCATTAGTTATTTTACTAGGGCAGATTGGGCAAATGCTCAAGAATTAATTCCTATTTTAGAAGAAGCCTGTCAGGTACGTAGCAATAGTGAATCAAACATTACCTAAAAATGTGCAAAATCTTGTTGCACCAAAAAATTGAAACTCTTTCTTTAAAAGTGTATTTGTGATAACCAAAATATTTTTCCGTTGGGTCCGTGTGGTCTTTTTCCCAAGAAAATGGTGCATAAATAAGGATTTAGATTTATTTTTGGCAATAAAATAATGGATGCCAAAGTTAATTTTTGATAGCTGCAAATCTGGAATCCATAAGCTTTCATATGGCGGAAACCCAAAGTTGATACAAGTTCTTTTTCCCACAAAAATCGGTACATAAATAAGAATTTTGACATTTTTTAACCAAAAATATGTTGGTTACCAAAAATACGCATGGATCACTGGTTGGGCATTGCGTAATCAAGTTTGGCTTTTTTTCCAAGAAAATTGATGAATAAATAACGATTAATTTATAGTAGATTTTAAATTGACATTCTAAAAATAATAATACTAATAATAATGTTACATAGTATTTCTAGATTTCCTTAATGTGTTTTTTTTTCTCGACAAAACTTGACCAGACGAACAACGTACAGACAAACACTAATTGTTACTTGATTTTAATCCGTGCGATTAGTTAACCAGGCTAGACCTGAGTTCTTACAAGAAACACCGACCATAATAATACTCTTTATTTCCATGGACACATGATTGTAGTGCATAGGTTTCAATGAGTAGGCTCTGTTTAACAGTTAGGGTAGATAAAACGTTTGATTGTGCATTGCAATCTGTCACTCTTATTGAAAATGGGACGCGGCGCACGAAATAAAATGAGGTTCAGAACGAAACTTTCTGATTTTCGTTTTTAATTTTTTCATGATAAACTAGTCGTACTAGACATTTCTAATTAACACATTATTCGAACACTTTTCAATGGAGATTTCGAATGTGACATCTCGTTTTAAATAACTTTTCAGATGATAGAGGAACACGTGGCAACTTTAGTTTTTCTTATGGGCGCCAATTTTTTTTTAGATTTTAAGATTACGTCTTTTTTTATCTTTACGACTCAAAATGTCAAAATCCAAAACGGCGCCCATAAAAAAAACTAAAGTTGCCACGTGTTTCTCCGTTATCTTGAAAGTTATTAAAAACGGGATGCCATATTCGAAATCTCCATTAAAAAGTGTCTGAATAATGTGTTAATTAGAAATGTCTAGTACAGGGTCTAGTACAATTAGTTTACCATGAAAAAGTTAAAAATGAAAATCAGAAATTTTCGATTTTTTGCCATATTTTCAAAACTATTGAAGATATTATAAATTTATTTTTAGATTATTATTCAGCACGAAAATTCGCAACTTTGCCCTAATTTAACAAAGTTTCTATCTCTTAAGATAAGCGAGATCCCCATAGTGGCATTCGAAAAATGGACACCATATAAACTTCACACATAACAAAATTCGAAAAAAAAACTTCCTCCAATTAACGGGACGTAAGCTCATCACACAATGAAAAAAATAAGGAATAAGAAATAGTGACGCTGTACACGCAAAACACAACAAACAAATAGCAACAGACTATAAGCCAATCAGAACACTCATGCCGTTTGAATTTATGTCATTATAATGGCAATGGCAAATAAGGCAATAGCAGGCTAATTGCACAGACATCAAACATAATTCCAAGTTCATAACTTCACAAAAACAACACCTAATACCTACTTGTTTTATTTTAGGTTAACAAGATAAAACAATAAATATAGAATACGCGTGCGCGCCTCTTCTAATGTCATTGGTTCGTAATATGAATAAGGAATAAAAATTTGACTGAACAAAATTATTATTTCTTATTTCCTAGGCTTATTTCATATTTCAGTGTTGTGTGCAAATCCATAAAGATCAATAGATTGAAAATTGTTATTCCTTATTTGTTATTTCATATCTTATTCCTTATTTTTTTCATTGTGTGATGTGCTGTACAGTTGCCACGGAGAAAGAACGTTTCGGGTCGCGCAGGTGCGCTTACGCGGTTGGCAATGATTGTGTAATACGCATTTGTACATTTCTAAAATATATACATTGACTAAATAAGATTAATTAGTCACTAAATTCCTCGTCTGAGCTGTTCTTCTCCTAAATTTATTATAATTTTTATGTATCTACTGGAATTTCCGAATTACCACGCTCAAAAGGCGATCTTCACATGCTTTTTCTCCGGGACAGCCGTAGTAACATGACAACCAATCAGAATATCGTTTCTTCGCGCTCTTGTAGTCATGTAGGTATCAAAATTTTACTCGGAATTGTCATCTCCGATAACAAATATGTAATTTTTGTGGTTTAAGTGCATATTTTTTATCGCTTACCAAATTACATCAACCTTTTATAAAAATAACCAAATTAGTGTGGTGTCACACTATGCGTTTTTACCGCTCCCGCTAAAACGGATGCGGTTTGACAGGATGAGATCTACTTGTCACACTATTCCGGTCTAACGGGATGCGTTTTTGCTATATTTTGGCAGTCTAAGTAGTGTCATGGCTCAATTATTGTTAAAGATGGCTTGAGGCGGAGGGGTTATTGCGAAAGCAGATATATCCTCAATATTGGATTGCTCCTTTTAATTCAGGACGAGAATCTAATAACAGCTCTCGAAGTTTTATGAAAAAATTTCGAATGAACAAGAAAAATTTTTTTTGTATATTACCGAATGTCCAAAAATTCAATTTCTACCCATGATTTCTCCCTATACAGTTTGTACTCTTTAGATTGTTTTTCCCGCAGTGCAGTTTTTGCATGCACGCACTCGATGAATAAACCCACATCAA